GCACGGAAATCAGGTTTGCAGCAAGGCTGGGCACCCAAAGCACGTTCTTGAGGCCCACCATCTTCCCATCAGCACCCTTGAACATGGCCTTCCCCATGCCTTTCACCTCAGCTCGCTGCCCCAAAGCCGATGTGACATGCTTCACCGGTGACGGCTCGAGTTCGGTGAGCAAGTCCGGGCGAGGTGTCATGCTATATGTAGCGCCACTATCAATCACCCAGTAGTCCAGGGGGTGTAGGGTCACCTTCCCCACAGCTGCTGGCTCCTCAAAGCCTTCATCCTTCTCTGGACCAGCCGGTGCTTGCGTCGACACGAAGTAGAATAGACCCGGGTATCGATCGTCGCTCGCGTCCTTGTCGTTGTCTCCGCTCTTCATGTTTGCAGCTCCGCCACCGCGACCGCCACGGCCTCCACGGCCTCGTCCTCTCCCTCCTCCTGCTCCTCTACCCTCTTGGCCTTGAGCAGGGGTCCAACCATCAGGGAGTTTGTAGCAGTCGCGCCACATGTGTCCGCTCTTGTGGCAATAGTGACACTCGCCGTCGAATCGGCCGCGACCGCGTCCGTAGCTCTTGTCGTCGCTGCCGTAACCACCACTCCCGCGGCCTCCGCCAAAGTTGCTGCCACCAAACCTTCCTCCCCCTCGTCCTCTACCTCTTCATCGACCATATCCACGGCCGATGCTCGCTGCCCCAGCGCCATCCGCACTCGCCAACTCACGGCGGTGGAAATCCTCTTGAAGGATAGCCCGCTTCACGTCTTCGAGCGAGAGGCGGGGCAAGTCGCGATTCAGGTTGATGATGAGCGAGGACCATGATTCGGGGAGTAGGGCCAGCAATTTGGTCTTCTTTTGGAGCTCACTATAGTTCAAATCAGCTCCCTCAAGCCGCGTCAACAAGTCGAAGAATTTCTGCACCCCTTCTTCAACCGCTTCATCCTCTTCAATTCGTAACGTCGCCATTTGCCGTTCCAACACCACAGCTACCGCCGCTGTTGCAGGAGCGTGTACACCCTTGAGAGCAGCCCATGCTTTTGGTCCCTTCTCTGGTTCACGCTGGAAAGGCTTGATGTGACGGATTTGGCTGCTCCCCAACGCTTGCCCAAGTAGGAGGTAGCCTTGTGCGCTCTTCCGCACCCACGGGCTCTTCTCCGGGTCGTTCTCGGGACGCTTCTCCGTTCCTTCCATCACCTCCAGCAGGTCATAGTGGTCAAATATGTTCTCCATTCTGCAGGACCACTCAGCAAAGTTATCACCATTGAACTTGTCAAGGCCAAATACTCTAGGCTCATCCCTAGATGGGCCAACACTTGGTTGCACGGGCGCCATGGTTGAATCACAGGGTTGGCCTTGAGCTTGGGCTTCTCCTCTGCCACCAGCACCTCTGCCACCCCTTTCCTCAGGTCCAGCCATTGTCGAAAATGCTCCAAGGGGCTCTGATACCACTTGTTATAGTCACAATAGGCTCCAATGTGCCTAAAACGAAAGATAGAGTGCACAGCCGGATTTCTGCACAGCGGCTTCAAACGTTCATAGCGTTCTGGTCACAACTTCAAATGACCTGATTCAACTTGGATCTGGAGCGTCTAAACGTCGCCTACAATAGGCAATTTAGATCGCACGATTTCACCAAGTATTGACGACACAGTGTCGGTTTGAACGAACGGCACTATGGCAGCCACTATAGTCTTAGAACACAAAAATAGGAAGAGATATGAAGAGTTACGAGTTGGGAATGACTCCCAGCTCCTACAAACCCCAAGAGCCAAGGTACAGTGATGTGGAACAGTGCCACACTGTCCCCAACCACGAAGGGTCTCGAAACTACCTTTCACTAGGGCCTACACCAAGTGAAATGTTACACTACACAAAGTAATGTAACTATCTTCAATATCTTGAGGTGTACCCTTTTGGCGAGCTTCGAAATCACTTGAGGCTTGACACCAAGGCTCGGGCTCTTCATCACAAACTCATCCTTGAGTTCTTGATGGGTCTGCTGCACACACCTGCGACACACCGAACGTTCAACACAGGACAAAATAGAAACCGCGCACGACAAAATAGAAACCGCGCGCGAGACACAAACGACCGCGTAACACGCGTCTAGCGATAACTCGCTATTGACTCAACACACACACTCGACATCATGACTCAACATTCATACACAATTATAAGCATGAAATATATATTATCCCATGCCCTCATACCATTCCATACACACACACATGCATGCACACGGACAACAAGCCGAGTGCAAACCATAGGGTTGCACCAACAACCCCCAGCAGGAGCACCCTCTCCAGTAGCACCTCCAGCAGCTCCAGAACCTCCAGCAGCACCAGTAGTACCCCCAGCAGGGCCGCGAGCAAATGGCTCAGCACCAACGCCCGCAGCAGCATCAGCTCCAATCAAAACCGCAGGTCAGCAGCTCCAGTACTCCCAGTACGAGCACCTCCGGGACCCGCAGCACCAGCACCCTCAGAAGCCGAAGTACCTCCAGCTCCAGCAGCACTCCTCCAGCGCCAGGCAAACCACTCGCGCAGCTCCGGTGGAGAGAGTGGCTCCCGGCGAGACGAAGCCCCCGGAGGAACTCCAGGCGGAGCACCTCCAGGCTCAGCACCCTCAGGCTCAGCACCAACAGGCTCAGCAACCCCAGGCGTAGCACCCCCAGGCTCAGCACCCCCAATCGCAGCACCCCCAGGCTCAGCACCCCCAGGCTCAGCACCCCCAGTCGCAGCACCCCCAGGCTCAGCACCCCCAGGCTCAGCACCCCCAGTCGCAGCACCCCCAGGCTCCGCACCCTCAGCAGCACCAGAGTCCCCAGTAACCTAGACAGGCTCGACTGCGTCTACCTGGACACACCTCAAGGGGTAGGACCCTGAGGGGAGAGGGGGTCTACCGGGGGGGGACCTGGGACAAGGAAGAGCGGGGGCGGGGGGAGGGACGGAGTGCGGTAGGGGAAGAGGCGGTAGTAGGGGACCGACTCGTCAAACGTGACGTCCTGGGAGGACAGAACACGGCGAGAGGTGGGGTGGTAGAACTGCCACCCAGGCGCAGAACAGGAAAGTCCGAGCCAAAGCTTTGCCTGAGCTGGAGACGAGCTGCGCGGATCCAGTCGATCAGCACCTCAGTGACATCACCCTTGCTGCGCAAGGGGAAGACTACGATGTAACGCGAGTAGTCGTCAACAACAAACAGGAAGTAGCGCTTGTGACCCTGTCCACGGACGCGGGCTGGGCCCCACGCGTCCATGTGAAGCGTCTGCAGCGGGGCCTCTGTCGGAGGAAACTGGGAGGAGTGAGGGGCAGACCTCTGGCACCCCTCCAAACAGAGGATACATGAAGGGCCAGGCCCATGAGGAAGGGGAGGGAGGCACCTGGGGAGACCAGAGACAAGAAGACGAGAGGCCATGCCTCTGAGTCGAAGCAGAGAGGGGTGACCAAGGTGGTGGTGCCAGAGGAGAGTCTCGTGAGAAAGGAGACGACACGAACAGGGGGTCGACTCAGGACCAGACCTGGACGCTGCAGCAAACACCTGACCAGACGCAGACACCCTACTAGACTAAGTAACTAGAGGAGACTCAGTGGTCAGTGTGTACAAGCTCGACCCCGGCTGACGTGTAAACGTAGCCAGGTGTCGGCCTGTGCGAGCGTCTGTGCAGTGCGTCACTCGCTGACGCGCAGGAGTGAACTGGTGCACTCACCCATCCTGTAGGTCAGCACCACTCACCAAGTTCGTAGAGAACGAGGGGAGGTAGAGACCAGACAGGGTGCCAGAGGGAGCCGCCGGACACGGGAGGACTGTGGAGAAGTGAGCAAGGACAGGACCCCCACAGGGGTCAGCCAGAGACACCGCAACCGGCCGACTAAGCGGCGTGAGTGTGGTGCGGTCCCGAAAGAAGGAGCGAGAAGCCCCAGAGTCAAGGGTGAAGGTGAGGGAGGCCGAAGCCGGCGCAGTACCTGAGAGTGCAGACTCACCAGTAACTGAGGACATCACAAAAATCCTGCATCCGGAAAACCGATGAAAAAAGTTGCTTTGGAGTTTTGTCGAATGATTCTTGAACGACGTTTTTCGAACGCTTTTTTGAGAAAGTATAGGTTGCTTTCCAAATGCTTTATCGAACGCTTTTCAAATGCTTCTCCAATGCTTTTCTGTTCAAACCTGCCAGGTGAACACCTTCGGAAGAACTTTTGTACAAGTTTTTGCAAAGCAATTTCGAAGATCGGATCTCATTGCAATGTACTCTTTATGGAATTTCGGGCTCATTAAAATAAGCTTATGTAGGAGAATTGCACGACCTTATATGTAATTTAAAACTATGTTAAGTTGCCTCAATCTTGCATTCAAAATGAACAGTACAGAAGCTTTGGTAAAAGCTGATAATTCCACCCTAAAAACGCACATAAAACAGCATCCTAAACCCTCTGTGCCTAGTCAGTTAGGTTGAGCTGCATCATCCTACGACCTGCTTAGCATGCTCCAGTACGCTATGTCTTCCACCGAACCCCATCTCTGGTGCTCTAGGTCGAGCGTGCCCCTGCGTCCACTGCTTCATTGCATGCTCTGCCCTCTCATGCGTCTGCTGCTCCGCCCCTGGCGCTCCCCAGTCATGCCTTTACTGCTGCTTGCTCCAGTCATGCCTAACCTGCGCCCCCCTTGTGCACTCCCCTCTATCTGCTCGTGCCTTTTCTGCTGCCCCCCAACTCTCTCAACTCATGCCTTTTCTGCTGCACCCTCTTGCACTATCTGGTTGCCTTGCTGGTTGCCCACCCTTGGACACTCCTCACATTGTCTCTACTGCTGCCCCCCTTGCTGACTCCACGCTTTTGCCGCCCGTGCTACCCCCCATGCTGACTCTACTTTCTTGCCAGGCGTGCTGCCCCCCTTGCTGTCTCCACCAATGCCTCTACCTCCGTTTTGATGTCTCCTCGCAAGTGTGTGATGCCTATCCTGCTGCCCCCCCCCTTGTAAACTCCACTCATGCCTCATCTGCTGCCCCCCTTGTTTAGTCGCCCCATCGCTTGACCCTCTTGCCTCCCCGGCGTTTGCCACTCTTGTGTCTTTTGCCCCTCCTTCGCTCCGGGCTCCCCCCCTTCACATCCTCATGCTCATCCTCTTCCTCCTCTTCCACTTCTTCCTCTTCTTCCTCTTCCCTCCTGCTTCCCTTGCCTCTGCCTCTTTTGTGCTTTCTGCCCTTCCTCCTCTCCTGCCCCCTATGATTTTCATCCTCCTGCTCCCCCTCCTCCTCCTCCCCACCCTCTTCCTCTTCCCCCCTGCCTCCCCTGAGTTTCCCTCTCTTCTGCCTTCTGCCCTTCCTAATCTCCCGCCCCCCCCGTTTCACATCCTCCTCCTCTTCCTCCTCCTCATCCTCTTGCTCATCCCTCTTGCCTCCCCTGCTTTTGCATCTCTTGTGCCTTTTGCTCTTCCTCCGCTCCTGCCCCCACTGTTCCTCCTCCTCCTCCTCATCCTCCTCCTCCTCCTCCTCCTCCTCCTCCTCCTCCTCGTCCTCCTCCTGATCCTCGTCATCCTCCTCGTCATGCGTCTTCAAGTCATCCGCGTCGTACACCTCCTGCTCTTCCTCCTTCAAGTCCTTCTTCTCCTCGTCAGGCGCGGCCGTCCCCTTGAACGCCTCAAATCCTGACTCGTGAACATACAGGCCACGGTCGCCCCACTTGAAGCCACCATGATCCTTCTCGTCGCCACCATACGCATCCTGCGAGCCCAAGGGACCGCCCTTGGCCGCGGCAGCCCTACCGCCGTTGCGCATGCCACCAAGTCGAGCTTCGTTGCCCCCTCGTTTTTCACATGAACCGGGCGACCCCCCATATGGTTGGGGGGCGGGTCCGTCGCTTCCCTGCCAAACCGCGCTGACCCCCAAGCAATCGGATCTCCCTTCCCAGCCGAACCCATCGGATCGCGTAACGCAGCGTACGGGTCCGCGGCTTGCCGATCATGAGAGCTTGATGTACATCGTATCCCCATGGACTCGTAAAAATTCAACTCCCGCTTCGCCTTGCTACGCACACCCACAATTTTAGCTTCGAATCGAGGTCTCTGGCGCTTGCCATGTGGTTTGGCACGACGCACACTCTGTTTACAGCTCTTCACCCGTCCCCTCTCCGATTTTTGCTTAGCGTTGCCCTTCTTGAGCTTCCGCACACTCCTCCTCTTCAAAGGCCGAGCCTCCTCCCCATCCTCGCTCTCCGGCTCCAACTCCTCATCATCCTCGTCCTCCTCCTCCTCATCCTCGTCCTCGTATACCTCCTCACTCCTGGATGAGCTGCCCGACTCACTGTCGCTCGAATCTTCCTCGGAACCAGACGAGCTCGAAGCGTGCACATTGGGGCCGTGCCGAGCTTGTCTCGCCTTATGGTCGCGGCAGCCCTGCCGCCGGTGCGCTTTCCGCCACCACGAGCTTCCGGCTCGGCATGATCCGGCTCGGCATGATCCCCATCGTCGCCTCCATCCGCATCCTGCGCCGGCCTGCCCGAGGGATCAGCCTTAGCCGCGGCAGCCCTGCCGCCGTTGCGCTTTCCGCCACCACAGGTAGTGACCGGCTCAACATGATCCCCCTCGTCGCCCCCATCCGCATCCTGCAAGCCCGAGGGACCGCCTTTGGCCGCGGCAGCCCTGCCGCCGTTGCGCTTTCCGCCACCACGAGCTTCCGGCTCGGCATGATCCCCCTCGTCGCCTCCATCCGCATATTGCGCCGGCCTGCCCGAGGGATCGGCCTTAGCCGCGGCAGCCCTGCCGCCGTTGCGCTTTCCACCACCACGGGTAGTGACCGGCTCGGCATGATCCCCCTCGTCGCCCCCATCCGCATCCTGCGACTGCCTGCCCAAGGGACCGCCCTTGGCCGCGGCAGCCCTGCCGCCGTTGCGCTTTCCGCCACCACGAGCGCGTTGGCCTGCCGTCCCATCTGCGAAGGCGGACATTACAGGTACATAAGAAATACTGTGCACACATTATCTTATTGGCTGGAAGTTGCAGCATGACATGCGGCGTCATTGTAATGAGTAACGTGCAAAATATAAACCGTCGATATCACACCCACAGCGTACCTAAGCTGTCAGGTCCCCCGTCTTTGCCCTCCTCGTCGCCTTCAGACGCAGGCGTTTCCTCACGATGTGAACGAGTGCCTCTTTTTCTTGGACGGTGCTTACGCCCCCCCCGGTTGTCACACTTGTCCGCTGACGCTGATGTGGAAACACAATTGGAGAGACGATAACCTCCAACAGGTCAGACACGACTACAAGCATCGTTTCATGCATACAAGTAGAATATTCCGCATCTGCGACCATAAACACGTACCTTTCTGGCCGCCTTTGGGAACGAGATCATCTAAGCGCTTCACGCGCTTATCCCTTGGTTTCGGAGGGGATGATATGCCCTTGTTTGCGTATGGCTCAACATCGCAGTCGCTATTCGATTCGTCACCGGATGACGAGACACGTCTGGAATCAACAACATCTCGCGCCGTCGACGCATTATTTTTGCGATACTCGTTTACGATCTCGGCCGTCTTATCTGCTGTTACTAACTCCGCAAAATTTGTTTCGTCGGGGGTTCTAGTCGAATCAGCCAGTACAATCGCCCCCTCGGGCCCCTTCATTATCTGACTTCCTTGTTACGATGTCTAGCTTTCCATTCACGCAGTACTATGAGGTTGCGGGTTGTGCTACCGCGAAGAACCAGACAACAGTCTACGAGCATAAAACATTGGTTGAGGAGGGAGAGGGAGGAGGCAAAGTCTGGGGCCTAGAGCAGACGATCGTCACACCTGGAGGCACGCAAGGGGAGCACGGAGGTGATGAGGGTTTGAGTGTTTCCTGCTATGGTGCACGTTGCGACTGCCAGGTCCCCCTTTTCCGCCAACAACCAATCGCCTGGTGGTTGAGGTGTATAAAGGAAAAAAATGCAGCACTGCCGTGTTAAGATTCCGTGGGACCTAACGTGCTTAATTGAGTATCAGTCCACAAGCGGCAGGGTGGGCTTCTTTTTGTTAAACCCAACAGTCAAATGCGCTACTGTATCTGGGTTTGCGAGGGTCATAATTATTTTGCCCGGGTTGTCGCACTGTTTACAATGAAGTGCCTCGCGTGCCACACAAACCTACACAAGCTGCACGTCAAGAGTCACATAGGGTCTGCGGAGAAACGGCGACGCTCGATCGCAGCAAGTCGTACAGCGATGCGACAGGTCGACACGAAGCCGTTGCGGCACGCCTGCGATAAAAACGCAGACTCAAAAGTTCCTTGTGTGTGGTTGCGACTGGTTTGCAAATCAGAGAGATTCGCGTACGTGGCATAGCGTGGATTCGAGTGGAATGGCGCAGGGCGGGGCACGTAATGGCACATTAGTTTGCAAAGCCTCAATAGTGTGGTGTACGTACATGATAAAAATAGAATTAGAGGGTTATGGAGTTGTAAGGAAAATCTCGTTTTCCTTACTTCGCATCCCTGCTCAAAGCGTACATCACTGTAGCACCTCAGTCAGCACCGTTACCACTCGCATCGACAATCCGCCCGCCACTTTTGCACGTCGCACCCCGACCTCACGGCTCGGCGGTAACCCGCGCTCTGGACCTTCGCCTCGACATTTTCCCAACCTCAGTCCCAGGCCCGTCGCGCGACAACCACAGTCCATTACCATTACCACTGTGGTTTCGCTATATAACCTTTCGCTCATACCTTCGCTCAGTTGTACCTTTTTCCCGATAGTGCAATCCTCGTTCGCTCACTCAATTGCACTTGTAACAGGAGTCCCCCTAACCCATTAGCATAGTGACAAGTATGCAACATAACAGTGTAAAACCAAACACCACCTTCACAGAACATGCACATAACGGTCTGTGGTGGAGCAGTCACTCTGATACATCGATTGATTAGTAAGTATGCATTATTTGATTGCTGCCTGGTCGTTATGCAACGCGTATGGGCATGTCTCCTCTCATGCCAATTGAGGTGCAATAATAATAGAGCCAGACACAAACTCCCCGTATGGGGCATGGCTGCTCTCATGCCATACAGGGCAACCTTTATGCAGGGACCCAAGAGCATGCTCTGTTGTATGTTCTAGGTTCATGCTGGAACGGAGTTGAGAAACCCCTGCTGTTCTACCCACTAGAGTTGTGGGGACATGCAGGTATGTTTTGCAGCATCACACTGACCCATTGTGTATTGTTTGTATACATGTCAAGCAGGAACGCCAGTGACAAACACTTCCCTACGGGTAGTGTTCTCTTGACATGGAGGACTGGTTCTGGCCAACACTCTCATTTGGCCACACTTGTTGTCAAGTCATGCAGGACTGATTCAAGGCCTCTCCATTGCGCTTTGTGTCATGTTTGTTGGCATATCAAGCTGGCAGGACGGATGAACAAACAATTCCCTATTGATCTTGTCCTCATTCCCCCATGCTACCCGCTTCCTTGTTCTTCACTCACACAGTTATTCCTCCCACGTACCCGCCTCACTCCCTCCTGCTTCCCGCCTCATTACCTCTGCTTCCCGCCTCGTGTCCCCTCGCTTCCGGCCTCATCCCCCCTTGCTACCCACCCCATTCCCCCTTGCTTCCCACCCCATTCTTCACTGCGACCCTCCTCATTCTCCCTTGATACCCTCCCCATTCCCCCTTGCTTCAGGCCTCATTCCCCCTTGCTTCGGGCCTCATACTCCCTTGCTACCTCCCTCATTCCCCCTTGCTTCAGAGCCGCGTCCCCCTTGCTTCCCGCCTCATTCTCCCTTGCGACCCCCCTCATTCCCTCTGCTTCCCGCCTCATGTCCCCTCGCTTCCGGCCTCATTCCCCCCTGCTACCCACCCCATTTCCCCTTGCTTCCCACCCCATTCTTCACTGCTACCCGCCTCATTCTCCCTTGCTTCAGGCCCCATTCCCCCTTGCTTTGGGCCTCATTCCCCCATGCTTCCCGCCTCATTCTCGCTTGCTACCCGCCCCATTACCAGCTTTTCACCGCCGCATGCCCCACCTCCAACCTCCAACATTGTTTTTGCCCGAAAATACACAGACCACTTCCTCAAATCGTGACGGTACTGACGGCGCCAATGGAGTGGCGTCCCTACAAGCTCACACGCCGGTAGTTTATGGAAACCATCCTCGACCAACGTGTGCATCACACGCATCGTGAACACACCACAGTCGTTCTCATTTGCCTGCATGGGTATCTGGACAATCACAGGGTGCGTGAGCGTGTGGTGAGGGCCGGGATGGGAGTGGGGTTTCGGTGTGGAAATTGCGTGCAGGGAAAGGGAGACGCGATTGTTTCAAAGCTCATACACACAAGGCAACAGCACTCGCCGTGACCTGCCTTAGTGGGATGCTCGCCGCCCATGCATCTGCGTCCGACTCAGTGATCCATGCATAGTATCTTATCACCTCGTTTCGTAAGTACCTGCACACCGGGAGACATAGATTCAATGCTATCGTAACCCCGAACTTCTGTACGTGACAATAGCAGACTGCCATTAAAAAGAGAGTACCTTCGCAACGCGGCGTCGACACCGGCATGCGTGCCGTACGAGTCAGCGTGCCAGAGCACGCAGTTCATGGGAATCGGGTCGTCGGGCCTCGGGATGCGCTCGATCACGATCAGGCTCCAGTGACTCCTAAGGCACACATGAGGTCTAACATCAGTAACGCCGACGTTAGACTACCGAAATACATATGGTGCTACGGCTAGACGCGACGACTATTCACTCGGTATTTATCGGAACGAGTACATATGTGAAATCGAAAATACCCAGGCCGAAAGTATAGGCGTTTACACGCCGCGAAATGTCCTTCTTAGCATATTCCCAGAAATATGATCCACTGTAAAGCCATTTGTTGCGGTCGCGACCGTGTTCGTACTGCAGCATCCTGCGCACGCGCGTATTTGCGACAAAGGAAACACATGAGATAACCGTGACGAATCTGGCCTTATGATTTCCTAACCGTGATACTCACACACCGAGCCAATCAATTACGATCCCGCTGACCCATTCACCGGGTCGTAGCCTGTCGGCGTGTTCCACGTTTATGTCGAGCCAGCCTCCGCCGTAGGGAAAGGGCATAGAAATTGGCTGAAAGGCCAGCTTACCATTTAAACACGGTAGAGCCATGGCTAGGACTTTGATGACCTCAAGATGCGTGTGGCACTAGGGATAATTTGGGGGACGAGCACCGGACTGGAATTTGGGCTTCTGCAGTCACGACACTATGAGTCAAGAGCAGCCGCGAAGGTTGTTACACTAGTCGTCAAATTTCACTAAAGGGTTTCGAGCCAGCCTGGTCCAAACAAGTTTCGCAATCGCATGAGCGATCGAGATTCGCCAAAGCGCCCCCACTTGTCGGGGCTTTGGCAATGGTCAGTGTGGTTTAACGTGCTGACTAGGCAGATACAGCCCCCTTTAACGGCCTTTCGGCCAATCAAACACCTCGCTGACGAGGTGGAACTGTGCTGTTCGGAGCTAGCAATTCCACGCGTCAGGCTATTATGTATGTGCCCTTCTACACGCACTGTGAAAGGGGCATGTTTACTTCGGTTATGGCTGGCATAGGTCCTCTCCTCCATGTTCACACGTTCACGCTCCCTTGTTCTGGGCGTTCCCGTGGTTGTCCCGTATAATGTGATGAACAGTGCTGGAAATCTACGGTCAGTTAGCTAAGGCATAACGATCTTCGCTGCTTGGTTAGGGTTCCGCGCCACACGCATGCCACAAATGTTGCGCGACGCAGCGTGATTGGTCGAAACACAGAGGGCTGTCAAAACCGATTTGTGGGGGAGTTGGCGGAAGTTTGGCAAACCAATCATCGGGCGTCAACCCTTGCAAACAAAAGATATTCTTGAGATTCTAGGTGTGAAGAATGGTCTGGTAGCAATAAAAGAGCAGATATATCGGTAAACTAGTTCAGGCGTTCTAATCCGCCACTTTTAGG